ACGTGGCCCAACCTGGTTCGATTCCTCCATCCCTCCTTGAGAGCCCGGCAAGCTACCGAGAGTATCCCGCCCGCATGGCCGAGCCTGGCAAGCTCCCTGTGGTGTATTTGATATGCCAAAAACATTAACAAGAAGTCTCACAATGGAGACGTTACTGGTGCCCGCCAGAGCAAATCGATGAACACCGCGAGGACAGTGCCACGGTGCTAATGTGCAAAGTTATTGTGAATCACCATCACCACCAAAGTGCCTATAGCCCTTCCCTACTGTGTCAACTTCTGGTCTGATATCCCCACCCTGCGCCTTCCAATTTATTATTTGTTGATTGACAGTATAGTTTTGATGCATCATCTTACCTCACTTTACTGATACCAGTTTGCCCTAGACCCGTTCCTATGTTCTTGCATTACTTCCAGTTTAACTCATTATTGCTTCCTTCTTCCCAACCCTGGTCTTCTCAGATGTAGAATGTGGTGCCCAAGGTTTATTATCAATTTATATTTTCCATTTCCTTCATTTCTTTCTCTATATGGCAAAGATGAGTGCAATCATCTAGTATTTGTCTTTCTGCCTTTAGCTTACTTTGCTCAACATAATTCTACTCAATTCCATTCAAATTGTCACAAACTGCATGTGAGGGCCATGAGTTTTTCTCCTGACTACATAGTATTCCATTATACACCACAGCATCTTTAGTTATTCATCTGTTATAGAATGTTTGAGTTTCTCCATAACCTATTGTACTAAGAGCTGCAACGAGCATAGGTGTGCATATATCTTTTCTGATTAATGGTTTTGTACTTTGGGTGCAGATACCTCGAAGTGGGATAAGTGGCCATATGGGTACTTCATTCTTACTTTTTTGAGGAATTTCCACATTGTTTTCCACAGAGGTGGGACCAGACAACATTAGCACCATAGTGAATCAGGTATTTTCTTGCCACAGGCCCCACAAACACCAGATGCTTCCAGTGTCTTTGATATATATTTTCTCACTGGTGTGAGATAGTACCTCATTGTCATTTTGATGTATGTTTCCCTGATATTATGTGATAAGTGCTTCTTCGTCTGCTTATTGACCATCTGAAGATTCTCTTCATGGAAGTGTCTATATATTTCTTTTCCACATTTTGGATGGGGTTATAAATTTTTTGGTACTGTTGGCTGCATTTTCTGAGTGCTTTATACATTTTCCTTGCTCTGGTCCTCCAATTCTTAATCTGGCTATTGAGATGATCCTGGAAGCCTAGCCATCTCAGGAAGGACAGAACACAGTTCCTAAGGAGTCACCCCACCCCATCCCACAGTCACATTGAATCCCTATCGCCAGTTACTTACCTCTCAGACCCTCACATAGGATCTGGTCCATGTCAAATTTTCACCAAAATGTTCACTGATGTATTGGGCTGATTCGTTTTCATCTCAATCTTTGTCATTTTCAGTTTTCCCATGACTTTCATCATGTTTTTTAATAACCAATTCATAATCCACATCTTCCTTCGAAAGCTTTTTCTTATTTTTTCCCAAGCATCATGATTTACAAAGCTACCACCAATAGAATTTCAGGCATCCGATGTCCCAACTCCAATCCCAACACTAGTTTCAGCATCCCTTCACCAATGTCCCAGATTCTACCCTGTCACCCCTCCACCAACAATCACCTCCTTAACAGGAACATTTTAGAGGATCGTAGTTTGGGTCCCATGCTTGCAGTTGTGCTGGTTTCATGATATACAATATCCTGCCACTACAACCCTGATGTATCCAAGGCCCCTGGTCCTTGCCCGTATGTTACCTTCAGACTTCCTCACCTTTCCTGGTCTTTCTCCGTATTCTACTTCCAAGGGTTTGCCGAGTTACATTCCCCTGCCATGTTATTCTGTATACCACAGATAAGTGAGAATCTCTGGAATTCGTCCTTCTGACTTTCTTCACTTAACGTGATGTCCTCCAGTTTCATCAAAGTTGCAGCAAATTTCATGATGTCATAACTTCCTGCAGCTGCGCAGTGTTCCACAGTGTGTCTATACCACATCTGTTTTTCCATTCATCTATCATTGGACATTTGAGTTGATTCCCTTATCTTACTTATTGTACAAGTGCTGCAATGAACAAGGATGTGCATAGGTCTTTTTGAATGAAGGTTTCAGTGTCTTGGAGGTAGCTATCGAGATGAAGAATCTCTATTATTCAAGCTCTATTCTTACTTTTCTGAGAAATTTCTACTGCAAAGTTTGTCATTAAAGACTGAGGAGATAGCTCAAAAGACTGCAGCTCATGACTTACATGCATGAGTCCTGGGTCTGCTCCCTGACACTGCACAGGAATAGTCCACAGACACTGCCAGGAGCAACCCCTCACAAACAACCAACCTATCTTTTAAACCACTTTGCTTATAGATTTTTTTAATATTTCCATTTACAAATTTTGTTCTTGAATCCGCTTGTCTTTGTTTTTATTTTTTTTGCGGTAAGTTTAACATTATTAATAAATCCAACAGATCTGAAAGCTATCTGTGAACTGATAATTGCTCACCTTGAAATAGTCCCTTTGAGATTGTTAAAATAGTCTTGAAATATTTTAATAATTTTGTGAGGGTCATGTCTTATTTTAACAATTTTGTGAGGGCCATCGTCACTTCTATAGTTATTCTTTGGGAGTAATTATCTTTGTATATTCCTGGATATATTTTAATATTGACAAATTTAATCCTTGCAGGTCCTTTTCAGGTAAATTTGTGGGGGGCTGGAGGTCATACTTGGTAGTGTTCGGGGTCTCTCCCTGACTCAGTGCTCAGGGGTTGCTCCCGGTAGTGCTCAAAGGACTATCAGTGCCAGTGTTCAATCAATGTGCACCAGCTGTGCAGGTTATTAAAATGTACCTGACCAAGACACTGTGAACTTTCGTAAAGAGAATGTGCAAGCAGATAAGTCTTCTGGGCCAACAACTAAAAAGTCACGCTACCATCTCTTTCTCTGAACAGATCTGCACTAATAAAATTCCAAAACGATTTTGACTTATTTTTGAAAAGAGTCTCTAGTATTCCAAAAAGACTACTTTCAATGACCGTTCTTGTTTATCTATTCTAAAGAGCTTATTGATTTTTCGTTTGTAACTTTTTTGGGCTGGAGCGATAGCACAGTGGGTAAGGCGTTTGCCTTGCACACGGCCGACCCAAGTTCGATTCCTCCGCCCCTCTAGGAGAGCCCGGCAAGCTACAGAGAGTATCTCGCCTGCACGGCAAAGCCTGGCAAGCTCCCTGTGACATATTCGATATGCCAAAAACAGTAACAACAAGTCTCACAATTTGTTGTGAGACATTACTGGTGCCTGCTGGAGCAAATCGATGAACAACGGGAGGACAGTGCTACAGTGCTACAGGCCTATGATCAGAGAGACTCACAATTATTTGATGCACTGTTTTGGAATCCTAGTTTAATGCCTGTTGTGTGTTAGACATTGGAACTGAATCAGGCCTCGATCTTTGCCCAGAAAGACCTGCCAAGTTCGTTGAGAAGACATAAATACAAACAGAGCGGTGTGAAAACCAGATACCAGCTAATAACACGAAGGAGCACCAGAGTGAAGGGACTGCTAGCAGGGGTAGGAATTTGTTACACCGTCAAGCAAAAATTTGTTATACTGTCAAAGATTTCTCGGGCTGAAGGACAAACTTTATGAAGAGGAGGAAGGGAAGCGACTTTAGGAGACATTCCAAGGCAAGGAACAGGGGGTACAGAGACTAAAACAGAAGTATATGTGGGGGTGACCCCAAGCAGCTCCATACTGCAAAGTTCAAAATGGGGCCAGAAAGGAGGAGGGTTGGTGCCCCAATGGGGTCAAAGGACACAGGCAGAAGTTTGGATTTCATCCTGAACAGGGAGAAGCGCTGGGGATAGGATTACCCTTCCTCACAGGTTCTGTTAACTCCCACTTGTAATTAGCCACATAGATTCGTCTTCAAACCCTCCTCCCACCCCCCATCTCCCCCACCCCCAGATTATCTCAGATCCATCCCTTCCTTTACATTCTGACATCTTCCTCATTTGCTCATCACCCCATGCCTGGACTGTTTCACAAACTCCTAGAACTGGTTGTTGGACTCTAGTTTGCCTTTTGCTCCTGACAACGGATTTTGCACGGGATTATCAGAATAACCCTCTTTTTCCATCAAGCCTCACTCCTGTGTAATATCTTCGCTGTTTTTTTTTTTTTGGTCATATGACCTGAGATAACTGTGACCCTCCCTCGACTTGCCATTCAGGGTCCTAGAGAATCTGGTTTCAAGTCCCTTTCACTCCTTGACTTCCATCACTGCCAACTGTGTTAGAACTCATCTATTTATTATCTAATCTGCATCTTTGCTTTCACTGTGTCTTCCTGGGATGCTAGGCTCACACAAACATCCTGGGAGTTACTTTAACTCTTTTTTTTTTACCCACAGTAAGTCATTTGTGCCCATGCACAGATCACACTCCCCCTTTTCTACTCTGAATTAGTAACCACTAATTATGGTTACTTTTTTTTTTTACCATGTATATATTTGTATAACTTATGTATGTAAACATAGATACATTGTACTGAATCCTGAGAACCTTCTGAAAGAAATCTAACTTACTCAAAATGGTGTATTTTGTGTGTCCTGCAGTTAGATTTTTCAATACCATTTTACCTTTCTTTAAGTATTATTCCTATTGTCATATAATTATAGTCTTTCAATTGCTGTTGCTTTTTTATAAAAAAAAATTTGGTGTTTGGCCATAGCTGGTGGTGCTCAGGGCTTATTATTCCTGGGGTGCTAAGGGCGAGGACGTATGTGATGTCAGGGATTCGAACTGGGACCTCCAGCAAGCAAGGCGAGCAACCGAAGCCCTCCCTGTTCTCCAGCTGTCTGGCCCCGTTCAGCTTGCAAACGTGCCATCCATCATTCATTCATTCGTTCCTTCCTGGGTGGGCGATTCCAAACTCTGACTATTACCAGCACAATCCAGTGACTCTCCTTACCGGGTAAAACCTTCCCAGGTCCTGCCCTGCTCCTGACTCCCCCCTGCAAGCCTTCCTACCCTCCAGCCCGCCAGCATCCCCCCTCCCCCCCCAGCCAGCCCCCTGCAGAAGAGTCTGGGCACTTTCGCATCATTCCATTGTGCTGAGTTCACTGCTCCCGAGTCGGGCGCCCCTGGAACGAATGAATGCACGAGTGAAGGAATGCGGGAGCGGGCGGCAGGAGGGGAGGTCGCCGCGCTCGGCGGCTCCTTGCAGACTTTGGCGCCTTCGCCGTCCCCTTCCCCTGGGGGCTCCGCTCGGCCCGCGCCGGAGCCGGGGAGGGGGTGCGTGGGCGTGCGTGCGTGCGTGCGTGCGGGGGCGGGGGTCCCCTCTCTCCACGCGAGCCGGTCCCCCGCCGCCCCGGGGGTCCGAGTGGCCAGTCGCGGCCGCCCCCGAGGCTGCGGGGCTCGGCCGGGCGCGGCTCCGGGGCGCCCGCCGCGTCCCGGGAGCCGCGGGGAGCCCGGGCGCGCCGCGCGGGGGTGTCGGCGCACCGGCCGCAGATCCCTCCGCGCGCGGCCCGGCGCTTCTTCCTGCGGGAAGCCCCTGGGTGCGGGCGGCGGCGGCGGCGGCGGCGCGAGGGGCGGGGCCCGCGGCGGAGGCGGCCGCGCCGGCCGGGCGGAAGGACACACGCGGGGCGGGCGGCGCCGCCGACAAACTTTCGGCCGAACTTCGGGCGGCGGCGGCGGCGGCGGCCCGGGAGCGGCGGACTCGGGTGCTCGCAGCGGCCGCAGCGCTGGAAGCCTCGGCCCCGCCACGCAGCGCCGCCTCGCGAGCCGCAGGAGCGCGGAGAGCGGGGGTCTCCGGCGTCGGGACCCCCTCCCCATGCGGGTCTGCCCCGGCGGCGCAGCAGGCGACCGAGAAGATGCGCGTCCCGCGCCCCGCCCGCCCGTGGGTGCTGCTGGCGCTCTGGCTGTGCGGCGCGACCCCCGCGCGCGGTGAGTGGTGGTGGTGGGGGGCGCGGGCCGCCCGGGGGACCCCCTTTCCCCCTTCTCTCCCTCCCGAGGAGGCCACTGGGCTGCATCGGAGTTGGGACGACGCCGGGCCCCGCTCCCGGGGCGCGCCCGGTCCCCGGGAGCGGCTCCCCCGGATCGGACCGGACCGGACCGACCCCCGCACGGCTGCACCGACGCCGGCCCCGCCGTCCTCTCCGGCTCTTGGGCTCCGGGGGCGTTTGAGGTCCAGCGTGTCCCCGCGCGGGGTGGGGGCGGGGGTCGAGGAGTCCCCGTTGGCCGGCCGGGTGGCGCGGGTGGGCGGCGTGGAGGAATGCCAGGGAGCGGGGGGCGGCCGTGCACCCACCCCGCGGGGCTCAGCTCTGGGGGGTGGTCCCGCGGGGGCTTGGAGTTGCATCAGGTTTTACCGCGCCCCCCGGCCCTGCCGCCCGCACCCCGGCCCCCACCCCGGCCCCCCGGCCTTGGGAAGGTGCAGGCGGGCGCAGCGGGGGCATCGGTGTGGCTGCAAGCCGAGCCACAGGATTCAAAAATCGGGAACTGCAGTGCTGGTTGCAAGCTCGCCGGTGGGGAGTGTGTGTCCAGCCCAGGAATGTGGTGTGACTCTGACCGACGCCCCTAACCTGGCTGCGCCTCTGGGCCGCGCTCCGGGCCGGGTAGGGGCGGGGTGGGTCCGAGTGGGTCCGTGGATCCCCAGCGCTTCCTTAGAAAGCCTCTCGAAAGTGGGGTGTTTGCCACAGGCTTTTCTGAGCGGGCTTGGCTCAAGGCAGAGGAATCGAATTATGTCTTGCCCATCCCACGCACACCCTGCAGATTCCAGATTTCTTAGCTTTGTTCGCTTGGAAAGGGCTGGGGCTTTTTGGAGTCTTGCTCTCTGCATAATGCAGGGTTTGAATCCAGCCTCTGCTCCTTGAGTACCCCAATAAAATGGAATGAAATTATCCAGCTAATGGGATTAATTAAGCGAATGAATATTAAAGCTATGGCAGAATTTAAAAAAAAGGGGGGGGGAATGAAGGGTAGAGACTGATTCTCCACCCTGCTTTCAGTGGGATGGAAGTGGCCCGGACCTGCTTGTCAGAAAGGAGGCACTTCTCTGCCAAGCATCCAAGGCAACTTTGTAACTTTTACTTAAAAGCACCTAAACAGATTAGTGCAGGAGCTGTGTTTTTCTGCAGGGAAAAAGTTAGGAGGATGATAGGCTTCAGAAAAAGCTGCTCTTTGTTCATTGTTAACTGACAGTGTGCCAATCACAGATGTTTAAAAGAGAACAAGATTATTTATCACAGTGCTGGGTTGCTCAGCCCCAGCCAGATTCTTCTTGGAAGGTTCAGATTCTTTACACCTCTCGGCCCCTGCGAGTTCCAGAAATGGGCCGGGAGACTATGTTGATGACCCCAAAACTTGCCTTTGTTTCCCCTTTCGAGCGAAAGTGTTTGCATGAGAGTAGATTTGGGGTTTTGGGAATATTGGCTCATCGAAGGGCAACACTTCTTCGTCTCCCATTAGGTTGTTTCCATAAACTTCGTTTTTCTGAGTCTTCTCACGTATGAAATAGAATTAATTAAAGACATGACCCACCTTAGCTTGCGAGAATCATAAATGATTACAGAGTGATTTGTAAAATGTTTATTAACAAGACTGATGTCACGGATAGGATTGGTTCCTTTGACACATTGAGCTTCACCCCAGAGATCAGAAAATAGGATGATCTCTCTCTTCTACTTCTCCCCTGACAAGGTATTACTCTCACTAGCATTTAGGTAGACAAGATAAGTGTTAGTGAGCTCAAAGGACAGGCTTAGATATTTTTATTTTTGACAGATGTCTTTCAGGTAGTAAATGACTGCAACGGAAGAGATTAAAGAACCCGTTTCTGGGTACAAATCCCAAATCTTTCAAAAGACTCATTGAATCTTTTCAATCTATTGTATTTTGCCATGGTGTCAGTTATAACACACCCATCTCAACTTTTGAGGGTTCCTGTGTTTGGCTCATGGCCAACTGTGAATTTTAACATCATGGAGTTCCTAAGGCAAGTCGCTGTCAACCTGCCTATTTCTAATGGTGTGGACAGTTGCCCACGACCACCCCTTGCCACTTATTTTCTTTTGCTTTGCAGTGGGAGATGGCTCCTGGTTTTGCTACCTGCTATATAATTGCTCAGCTGAATTCTTTCCTTGCTTTGAAAAATCACAAAGAGCAATTGTTTTCTTCCGGCCCCTCAGATGGAGATTAAATTTACCTTGAAACTATTTCCTTTTCTCTTTTTTCCCCCTGTGATGTTCTTTCTTTCTTGTTATTCCATGAAGGGGTGGGGGGCGGGAGGGAGTGTTGAAGGGGAGAGGAGAGAGTTACTATTTTTAGCATCTTATTTTTCCTGATGTTGTAGCCCATGTATCCTTGGCTAGCTCGCTACACCATTTCCACTCCATTGCCTCTTCTGTAGACCTCTTATGACACACAGGAGTGTTTTTTTGGTTTTCTTGTAGCTGCTGACTTCAGGGTCTTTAGAAAATGGTTAAGTTCAGTGGGATATGCTTGGACGCTTCAGAGCAGCCTTACAATACATTTAAAAAAATATGATACTCTCAGAAATTCTCTTTTGCCCACAACATTTGCATTAATCTAGTTCCCACTCTCTGGTGCCATGGCTAGTGGTACACTTCCTTACGTGGTCGCAGATGGAACAGAGCTCCACACCCCAGCTAAAATGAATCAGTTGGGGCCAATCCGGAACTTGGTGGCTGGTGGTTCCGATACAGCATGTGTAAAGTCTGTCCTTTTTTCAAGGTGTGCAGGTGGATCTGATGGAGTAAATTGGTCAAAACCCATGGGTGACTCACGATTTTGTTTTGAGGTGTGTGGTGGTCTGTCTTCTTTTTCCTTGCACCCTTCATTGATTCTCCTCTTCTCATTTGCTACAAATGACCGGGAATATATATACTTTTTTTTTTTTTTTTTGGTTTGTTTTTGACCACACCTAGCTGTTCTTAGGGCTGACGCATGGCTCTGCACTCAGAAATCATTCCTGGTGGGAACCGAGAAGTGAGTTTGATTCCTGGGGTGCCAGGGATCGAACCTGGATTGCCCACATGCAAGACGAATGCTCTGCCTGCTGTACGGCTGCATAGGCCCTGCCGCCTGCTTTTCTTTTGTTCTCTTTTCGTTGATCTATGTGCCTTGTGCATCTTGGAGAGACTAGTGGACTCGGAGCCAGAAGCCCAGATTCTCCTTCCGGTCCATTACTGTTCATGTGTTCTTGCAAGAAGGGCCCTATCTCCAGCCTCCATTTATCAGTGAATTGTTTTTGGTGTTCATTTTGGAACCATACCTGGCAATGCCCAGGGGTTACTCCTGGCGGTGCACTCAGGAATCCTTCCTGGTAGTGTTCGGGGGACTATAGGGGATGTTCAGGATGGAACCTAGGTCAGCCTTGTGCAAATCAAACACCTGACCTGCTATACTATCAATCTGACCCTAATCAGGTGCTTTGTCTAGTCAGGGAGCCGGCTGGATTTGAGGCTGGAATCGCTCTCCTCAGTTGAGTGCCTCATTCACTCTGTTCTTCTTCCATCTCTTGCACAAGTGAATTCATGTATATACAAACGTGTGGACTATCTTCAGGTGCTCATTATTGATGTGTGTTCCTTTTTGGAATTCTCCCAAAACTGCCCTTCCCTTTGCTGCTATCCTGGCTACTACTTGACACTTATTTGCTGTGCTCACTGGAGGCTGCATGCTTACGCGGTTGATGCTTGTGAACGCTGTGGATGCTGTTCTCCGGGGATCCCACGCTCTCCTGGAGCTGTGGCCTCAAGTGGTGGTGTCAGGGATTGAACCCCTGGCCTGCTGCGGGCATTCTACTAGCTGAGCCGTCCCTCGGGCAAAAGTTGTGTTTCTTTTCTCTTTTCTTGCTCTCCTCCACCTCCTCCTTTCCTTCCCCTTTTTCTTTGTCGGGGCCATACCAGCAGTGCTTCGGGCTTAGTACTGGCTCTGTGCTCCTGCATCACTTCTGGCAGGACTTGGGTACCATATAGAGTGCTGGGGATCAAACGAGGGTGGACCCTGTGTAAGGCCAGTGCCTTATCCACTGTATCCAATCTCTCAAGCCCCCCACATCTGTGTTCCTTGAGGAAAAAATGATGTCTATTTATGTGTTAATACTGTTCTTTGGCATTTGATAAGCTGTCAATCAGTAATTGTACAATTAAACAGTTACTTTTTTTAAAAATTTTTTTATTTTTTAAAATTTTTTTTTTTTATTAGTGAAACACCATGAGGTACAGTTGTAGATTTACAATTTTTTGTGCTTGGCTTTGATTATACAATGATCAGATACCCATCCCTCCACCAGTGCCCATCCTCCACCACCATGGATAATATCCCCCCCACCCCCATCCCCCCATCCCCCCCTGCCTCTGTGGCAGGGCAATCCCCTGTGTTCTCTCTCTCCTTTTGGGTGTTGTGGTCTGCAAAAGAGGCATTGAGTGGCAAACCTGTTCAGTCCATAGTCTACTTTCGACATGCATCTCCCCTCCTGGGAGGATCCTCCAAACACCCTTTATTTGGTGTTCCCTTCTCTATCTGAGCTGCCCTTTCCTCTAGAATGCCCGACTGGCCACTAAGCTATGGAGTAATCCTCCTGGTGCTGATCTCAGCTATTCTTGGGTATTAATCTCATACTTTGTTACTTTATATCCCCCAGATGAATGCAATCTTTCTATGTCTATCCCTCTCTTTCTGACTCATTTCGCTTAGCATGATACTCTCCATGTTGTACCACTTGTATGTAAATTTCATGAGTTCATCTTTTCTAAGAGCTACATAGTACTCCATTGTGTAGATGTACCAAAGTTTCTTTAACCAGTCATCTGTTCTTGGGCACTCAGGTTTCTTCCAGTTTCTGGCTATTGTAAAGAGTGCTGCAATGAACAAACAAGTGCAGATGTCACTTCGACTATACATTTTTGCCTCTCTGGGATATA